TATTCCACAACGAGTTTGCTTATTTTGATGGTCAACTGCCAGATGGTGTTGTAAACTTGTAATATAGGGGATCTTTAAGAAAATAAAACCAATTGCTGGTTATTTTGGAACTGCCCTAGTCAGTACTCAACCAATTGTTGTATCTAATGAAGTCTGTGATGCAAACATTATACAATCTCATGTTATTGAACCTGAAGTGTCCAATGAAGAATATGATGCAAACATTTTACATGGTACTGGTCCTGAATATGAAGTTGCTAATGAGGGCTCTAATGCTAACATTTTACATCATCTAGTTGTTGAGAATCTGGAACTACTTTGGATCATTAGCTGCTTTTTAGAGTATATATAGCTTTATTTTTCTCAAGTTATGTTGATTTTCGTATTTCTTAAGTTAAGTCCCTGATAGTTTGAATTCCTGGATCCGTCACTGATTGACCAAATAGTTACTTTGGCATAAGAGGTTTCGGGAAATTCAAGTATGCTTCTGCGATGGTTTCTTCGTGAAATTGGAGAACAGTTTGTAGCCACCATCGTGATGATTAACCCTACCGTCAAATACCACAAGATGTGCAAAATTCCACAATCCTAGATCTGCTCTATTCAACATTCAACCTTTATATGCTGCCAAATAATCAATGAACCTAGAACAATCAAACCGATCAAAACATCTTCCATGTTTCATATAACCATGCCCGTCTTGCTAGTCATCTTACGCCTGGCAAGTTCATCTCATCTAGTCACCATATAAATCATAGTTCTAATCGCCGAGCATAAACTATATTGATTAATCTAGTGCGCTAAGATTTGTTCAGCATCCCATGTCGCCTGTCTTGCACTAGGTTATTATCAGGTTTAGGTGCAGGGTCGTTCTCCAACCTAATGCATCGTCATCCTCCCAGCTCAAATGCACTACGAAGCAAACTTTATAGTAGTCTCTGCTCTCATAATAAGTCCGACACATTAAGCTCCAGAAGCCACGACTTCTACTCTGTAGAAGTGCATGCTCTAGCTAATGCAACCAAAAGATCGATCTGATGGAAGAGACTAGACAGCACATTATACATCAACACTCCCTCTCACGTGTGGCTTTCTCAGGCCTAAACGTGGACCGAAAGTGGGCTGCAATTTAATTACGCCAGCCGGGTCTTGAACTCGAGACCTCTTGGCTCTGATACCATGTATGTTGTGAGAATTGCATGATGTATTGCTCTTCGTGCATAGGCACGTATATATGATGTACAAAGGTGGGCCACGGACCTCAACTATACAACGAAGTAGAAGGCAGGTCCAATACACAATATGCACATAACACATATACTCAACGTACTCAATGCAAACGCAGGCATTCAGCACGCCAAGTGTCTATGTTTGCATAAAAAAGGTTGCACATAAATAAATCATTTCTGTGCAGCAGAGATCTGATAAACAGGCGCTGCAAGCCAAAAACCCATGCTCTGTACCAGCAAAGAAAAACTGATCCAATCTCTGATGCAATTGAGTTAGAAGTTGCAACCAAAGGCTCACACGTGGAACAGGAGTAGCAAGGCACGATGATTCCATATGCACGTACATAGCCTAACGAGTCCACGGGGAAATGTCATAACAATTTGACAAGTCTTGGAGATTGTATTCTTCCTCTATATGTCGCTAGTGGACACCGCAAAGGCAACAATAATGCTGGCCTTCGAAAGCGAAGCGTCTCGTCGAATCATGTTGCTTGATTTTTTGTTTCTCTTTCTGAGAGATTTTTATACAGAAAATGAGGGGATGAGAACGAAAGCAACACTCACTATCTGACATGAGGAAAACAATGGGCCATGACACGACGTGCGGGACGGGGCCGTGAACGAACACATCTCTTCCTGCTGTGATATCACTTTGGCAGAAATCGTATGGACGTTGCACGAGAGAAACACCCAGAAGCGGGGGTGGTGTCGTTTTTACCCGAGCAATGCTACATCTACGTGTTTTATTTAGGTAATGTTATGCAAGGGCTAATTTGGAGGACTATCATTAGTCATGAGG